GGATACACTTTATCTTCAGGTAAGAACCCATGCATCTATTTCTGGAAAACGGAAAAGGAACTAAAGTTACTTCTATAAAAATGCAAGTGTTTTCAGTAGTATATTGAGAACCAAAATTGTTTCGCAATTGCAGTGCTTGCCAGGTGCATCAAATTACTGGCAATACGAGGTGTAAACAGTATATCAAATTTGGTGTCTTCGCCCTCAGTCATACCCTTTTTCTGATTTTATTAACGATCTACCAAGGAACATTTTCAGATCATTCGTAACCAGTTTTGTTAGGTGTAGGCTTTCCCCAAATATTTCCACTTTGGAATGTTTGTAGGGGCTTAATGTTGCTTAACTTTGGGGATCGAAATAGAACGAATATTTCAACGTGATATGGCAGTAAACTCTTCTTAAATCATTAATAAACATATATACTGATGATAACAGAGTTTACGGATGCATCTCCCAAAATCAAAATATTCAGATCCTGGTAGCTGATCTCTTCGCTAACCCTAACCTCTAACAGCTGAATGCGGGAAAAAATAGCTTATCACTTCCAATACGTATAAAACCTCCCAAATTTCCCGCGCTGGCTATTAAATGTTACATGGCCAACCGAAAGCGGTTTATACCAATTGGGAAATAAAAAGAAAAAATAATCCAACACATCGAATTCTAACTGCCACCATTTGGTTGATTGTTTCGCTTGTCTTCAATTGTTCATTGTGTTGAATTTTGACATCGAAATCTTAGGAGATATTATATCATTTTATTCATGAAAAAGCTAAAACCGATTTCATTAAAATCAATCAAAATTAAGTATTTTCTCAAAACTTAACGGGACAACTTTGTGGTGCGTGTTTCAAATTAACACATTGTTGGGTTTTTAAATATACTTGCTAATAATTGCCGTCGGTAAAGATATTTCCTCAAACATTTATAATGAAAAACACAAGAATAATAAAGAGAGTTATGGGAAAAGTCGGAAGAACGTAAATGAAGTTCTTTATTTTCTAGAAAGAGAACATGCTAACAAAAGGTAAAACAAAAGGATTACATACCTTCTCTCTACCCTGAAAAGAAAAGCTAGTGGACGTTAGAAATTCTGGCATCACAAGTTGGCTGTATCTCCTCATGTGTCCCGTGGTACATCTTAGCGGCGTCTTCCTAAAGACAGTTCTCTTTGTCGAAAAGTTGCTCTGGTGATCGATGAATAGACCGGCTAAGTCGGGAGAATAGTGATTGGAATATAGGAAAGAAAAGGAATCTTTTTCAAAATAAAATCTATTCTTGTGTATTTTCATTTTTTTTCAGGTGGTACAGACAACCATTTGGTTTTATTAGACATGCGTCCCCTGAATCTTGACGGTGTCCACTGCGAGAAGGTACTGGAACTTATAAATATCTTAACTAGCAAATATCCTTACCCTGGGGATGAAGATGCCTTCAAACCTAGTGGGCTGCGTTTAGGAACTCCAGCCCTTACAACTCGTCAGATGAAAGAAGAGGACATTAGAAAATTGGCTCAATTTGTTCACCAAGGTTGGTTTTTAATTTTCCTCAGATTTCGCAACACTCAAATAGGAATTGTGAAATAGTTTTACAATACGGCTTAGATTCTACGAAATAAAAAAATTGTAATATACATGAAAGCAAAACCTGTTTCAGAATAGAAAGTAAATGCGAAAAATATGAACGGCAAAATTAGGCAAATTTGTATTAAACCTTCGGCAAAGTTTAACCATTGTACGCGCACAAATAAAGACAATCTGTGAAAATGACAGTTTTCTGTTTGGCACGCTGGATACGACCTCGGCATTACCGGCAATATTTATTGTTTTAAAAAGAGATAATTAGAACTGGAATAAAGTTCAAATATATGTAAGTGAATCTTATGCACTTTTTTTTGTCCTTGAGACTACAACAAGAATATTAAACACTATTTATTTATTAAATCGTTTATTTACAAGAATAATTTCAAATTTACAACCAGTGTCAGCGCTTCTGGGGCTTTTTTTCTCTCGTCGAAATCCGTGAATTTATTCTGCTCATGGTAAGACACGAAAAATCACGATCTAAAATTCACTATTTCTTATTCATAATGTTGAATGTGTTGAAATTATTCACTTTTTTAACAAGAAAAATCTCAAGTTGATGCTAAACATTGTCGCAAAACTTTCTCTAATAAAAAACGGATTCAAGAGTTTTTTGTGTTTTTTTTTTGTGGTTTTTTTTTTGTGGTTCGTAATCAAAGTAAAACGCGAGAAAGGTTTTTAAATATAGAAAAATAAAATATTTTTATTTTCCTATTTTTATAACACTAAATTCCCATTTATGCGTCAGACAGTTGAACCCGTCTATAAAACTGTAGTCGAAAAGCGCTCTGCCCTCGTCAATAAGTAAATCATAACAAGGCCACATGGAAAAAGAATAACACAGGAAAACATTTGGGAATTCGGTTGGTCTGTTCAGTACCACCGACCATATTCGTCTGATTTTTTATCAATTGTTCAATATATATATTTGTGTGTGTGCTTTTGGTTATATAATATAGCCAATTTCATTTAGATTCTTTTTGCTTGTTTCCATCATCTTTGTTATTAAATATCCCACATACACAGACAAAAAACAATCACACACACACACGCACATACAAAAACAAACACTCACGCACAAACACACACACAAACGCGCGTGCGCACGCGCGCGCGCACACACACATATATATATATATATATATATATATATATATATATATACACAGGACTGGTTTATAACCATTTTCACCACCTAGGCTGATGAAATGCCCCCTCTCCTCCTCATTTCAGACAGTGCTACCCTCTAACTCGCTCGCACCCGTCTTGTATATTTTTTTTACTCGTAATATATTTTTAGCGACATTTACATAGCTTGAAGTAAACTTCTTCTGACATCCTCACGTTGGAACCAATTTCAGTTCCTTCGCCTTGGTCATGAACAGATGGCCTTTATAGTTCATCCGCCTTGAACCCTTTCGCCCTGGTCGGTGGACCCAGCGTCGCGGATGTCTTTCGATAAGTGTTGCCTTGTTAACACAACCCCACTCATGGGAGTTTAGCTTGCCATGTCAAATTGGGGCCATCACGTGAATGATTTAGATGGTTGATGGCCAGTGATATTCGTCCAATCAAAGGTGCAGCGTGCCAGTCATCAATGTTATTACGACTGTCTATACCCGCATATATATTCTTTTGCACTCGATATCGGGTTGAACTGTTAGTCATCAAATGTACCATTTAAAGAAATGTTATTATATATATTTTAAATGATAATAATAGAAATCAATAAATGAATAGGAAAAATTATTATCAAATATATGAGAACATTAATTTATTATTATTATTATTATTATTATTTTAAAAATCTGAAGAAAAAAAACGCTTTTCCGACAAATTTGAAAATACGTTCTCGTCCAAACAAAAATGTTATTTACAGTCAATAAATAAGAAAATAATTAAAAAAATAAAATTATAGCTAAAGAAAATGTTTGAATAATTAATGATAGGGAAAGAAATCGACGATATTGAACCAATAGTCAGAGATAAACAAAACAAACATTACGACTCGCAATGCCTTTGCTTCAATTTCAGAAGCTTCGTTCTCATTTATAAAACTAGAAATGGTCCGCTTAAATACAAGATAAAGTAGAATTATTCGCGCCAATGGATAAATAATTTAACAAATACAGGGTATTGATTGAATATTCTTAATATAATAATTCTTAATAAGACATCTAAATAAATAAACGGCAAATTCTGTCTGTCCGTCCGTGTGTTTGAAACCCCTTTAATTCGGGCCATACTTGCTCCACATAGACATATTACTTTTGGCTGGAATTGAACTTATATTTCGAATCAGAGTTAAAGTTTGGTTTTGAAGTTCCTTGGAATGAATTGAGAAATTCAAAGATATTTCTTCAAAATTATCATTGCTGTTTTCTAAGCTGGACCAGAGGTTCATTTACTTTTATTCCTCACAGAGTGCAGCTTTTTCTTAATAAATTAAACTTAAATGCTTAGTTCTTAATAAATTAAACTTGCTAAATAACACTTATTTTTTAAAATAAGAAAATCGATGTATACCATGACTTATCTTAAAAAATAAAGAAATATTCATTTTAATATTTAAACATTACAAAATAATTACATAAAATTATAATTTAATAAACAACGAAAAATATAAGAATATTTAATGTATTAAAATAATTAAAACGACATGGCTTTCTTTGAGCAATGAAAAACCACGTCTTTTCGTTGCGACATCAGCGTCTATATTGCATAAAACAACTAAAAAAATGCCGCTAACCATTTGAATGAGGGAAGACAACAGCAAACAAAACAAGGACTTGAGTAAACAAATATATTGCCAAATTCATTGAAGAAAATACATAAAAAACTAAGGAAATTTACATCTGAATCGAAAATTTCATATTATTCTTAAATGCCAATATGAAAAGAAATTACAGATAAAGAAATTTTGGAATGTGAAATCTTTTTGCATGAAAGTATTTTCCCTAAATTTTGTTATTTTATTGTAGGCATCAAAATGGCAAAAGAAGTGGCTTCCAAATCACACCCTTCGCTGGTTGATTTCATGGAGGTGCTTGAAAATGACTTTGACATACGACAAAGATTGGAAATTTTAAAAGAAGAAGTGAAGAATTTTGCTGGACGTTTCCCGTTGCCTGGGTTTGATGACATGTAACCAGAACCTTCCACACACACCCACACTTGAAAATCCTTTTCATACCACACTGTGAACACAAGACAAACTGAATTTCATATGTAAATTCTTAAGTTTCCAGAAGAATGGCGATGACCTTACACATGATTGAATATTTGACTGTTTCCTTATAATATTGGTGTATACTAGTACTGTAAGAATATTATGACGAGTGTTAATAAATTATTACAACTAACATGTCTGTATTCAATTAAATGATACCATTAAAATTCTGAAGTGATTTGACACAGTTTCTTTTTTCTATCTATCTATCTATCTATCTATCTATCTATCTATCTATCTATCTATCTATCTATTTTTCACCCATCCCATTCATATGTATCTATCTATCTCTATCTCTATCTCTCTCTCTTTATATATATATATATATATATATATATATATATATATATATATATATATATATATGATCGAAATAAAAGACAAAAATGATTTAATAAAATATTAAATAAATTTAATATTACAAGACATATTAAAACAGTATTAAATAATAAAAAAAAACTCAACAACAAGGGGGGAAGCAACCGGTTTCGCTCCCGCTCGTCAGGCTTCACGGAGAGTCAAAATTAAAACAGAGAAATGTACAATAAGAATAGGTGGAAAAAAAATATTACACACATATATATATATATATATATATATATATATATGAAGAAGGAACTAGAGGCAGATGACAGCGAGTCCCAGCAAACACTCACGTTGTTTGCACAAAGAAGGCTTGCAGGACCCGATGTTTTTATTATTTAATACTGTTTTAATATGTCTTGTAATATTAAATTTCATACTTTTATTTCGATCATTAAATTTTGTACCTACAAAAATATCTTTATATATATATATATATATATATATATATATATATATATATATATATATATATATATATATATATATATTATAAGTGATTATAATAAAAACATTTTACATCGCTACACAAAAGGTTCATCTGTTAATATTATGATTGTACTTCATCAGGCGATGTGTGGTAACAGATGATAAAAATGATTTATGCATGCATTCCTCCCAATCTAGATTGGATTTAAACCACTGGTTCAACCAGTGGGAAGTGGGGAACAAATATTCTTACATATACAAATCTTTAATTTATTGTATTTTCAACCAATGTATAAACATACTTTTCATATAATTAATTGTACACAGATGCATAATAACTAAATATGCATAGAAAAGAGAAAAAATTGATTTAATAGAGTATGTTTATTCATTAGTTGGAAATAAAATAAATTAAAATTTTATGTGTACGATTATTTGTTTCCCTCCACTCTCTCTGTCTTTCTCACTCTCTCTCGTTCTCCACCTCTCTCTCTCTCTCTCTATATATATATATATATATATATATATATATATGTACAGGGTGTATCAAAAATACTTTTACAAATTTTGGGTTAGCGTTCCTCACACTCAAAACAAGGACATAAATCCATATAAACATGTTCGCAAATCCTTCGTTTTTGAGTTATTAAGTTTAAAAATTTTATGGTAGATGTCGCAGTGTTGCTATGTAGACTAGATTATATTTGTTATTCGTGTACATTTGTGGCTTGTCTGTCTTCAACGTTCAATATCTGTAGTAGTGAGTTAACTGAGACGTGTTCCGTATAAAAATGGCAGGATATTTATATCGTGAGCAGGCAGATATAATATAAACATACGACTGCGCGAATGGTAATGGACGCTAGGCTGCACGGCTGTAAAAGATTGAGTTTCCAGACAGGAGGCAGCCAAGTCATCCAATATTTGCTGCTGCTTATCGTCGTGTTGTTGAGAAAGGATTCGTGGCACCACAAACTATGGATCGAGGAAGACCGAGATCCATTCGTACGCCTGACCACGAAGAACACATTCTTCAGGCTGTCGGAGACGATCCAAGTATAAGCACACGTCAAGTGGCTCTAGTATGTCGTACATCACATAGTACCACATGGAAGGGACAAGAGCAGCTATTATATCCGTATCATTTGCAATGTGTACAAGGTATTTCGCCCTTTAATCGCTCAGCACACAAAAACTTACCGATGGTTTATTGCGCAAACCGCTGATCCGTTGCATGTCTTTTCAGTTTTGTTTACGGATGGAGCGACATTTGGAAGAGATGGAATAACAAATTTACACAACCAACATTTGTGGGCAGATCGGAACCCTCATAGTGCAATACAGTCTAGACACCAGGATCAATTTACGGTTAATGTGTGGATAGGAATTGTAGGTAACTGTCTGGTAGGTCCATATATTCTCTAAGCACGTCTTACAGGAGCTGTCTACAGGAAATTTATTTGAACACATTTCCAGACATGCGAGAGGACGTATCCCTACTAATATGAAGACTCGTGTACTAACTCAGTTTTTTCATTATCTATCTATTTAGCTAGCTAGTTTTCCCACTATCTATCTATCTATCTATCTATCTATCTATCTATCTATCTATCTATCTATCTATCTATCTATCTATCTACATCAATCAGTTCATATCTTTCTCGGTCTGTACGTATTTATCTCATAGAAAATTAGGTGTAACGCCGTTCCAATATGGAGTTTAAAGTAAGGACTCAATCAAGACAGAAGATGAATTCCTGATTCATCTAAGAGTGGCTATCTATCGCTGATAAAATCCAGACATGAGGCCGACCCCCGATTCAATGCAGACAGGAGATGAAACTCTGATTCACCCAAGAGGGTCTATTGATCGCTGATTCAATCCAGACAGAAGATTAATCCCTAATTTACCCAAGACTGGCTTTCTATCTCTGATTTAGTTCAGATAGGGGTGGGGGCGGTAATCCATGATTCATCCAAGACTGGCTATCTATCACTGATTAAATCCAGACATGAAGCCGATCCCCGATTCCATTCAGACAGGAGATGAAAGCCTGATTCACCCAAGACTGTCTGTTCATCGCTGATTCAATCTAGACAGGCGGACGGTTCTTGATTCAATCCAGACAGGAGATTAATCACTGATTCACTCAAGACTGGTTATCTATCGCTGATTTAATCCAGATATGGGGCCGGTAATCCCTGATTCATCCAAGACTGGCTATCTATCGCAGATTCAGTACAAACAAGGGGCCGGTTCCTGATTCAATCTAGACTGGATTTAAATCCCTCGTTCAACCAAGACTGGCTATTTACAGTGGAGGGAAACAAATATTCGTACACAAACAAATCTTTAATTTATTTTATTTCCAACTAATGAAGAAACATACTTTTCATGTAATTAACTGTAAAGAAATGCATAATAACTAAATATGTATAGAAAACAAAAAATAATTGATTTAATAGAAACTACCCCGACCTCCCCTCAACCGAGAGGAGAAACCTGGTTGTTGTCTCCGGACAGTGCTTTGTAACCCTCTCTATCTGAGCAACATTTGTTTTTTTTATACCTATATTTATATACGTTACATATGAAACTAAGCACAACTGACTATTAAAGGATTAATACATTTTTGAGCATTTTGACGTAATTCTGGACTATTTTTTCTCATCTAAATCTGTGAATTTATTTTGCTCATGTTAAGTCTCGATAAACACCATATAAAATTCATTTTTTAACAAGAAAAAATCTCCAGTTGATGTTAAAAATTGATGCAAAACATTGTTGATTTATTTAAGGTCTATTCTGATATGTATCTAATTCGCATTTATGTACATTCTTTTTATTTGCAATTTTTTGAGTTTGTGTTTTATATGAATACTGCCATATGAAAATTGATATATAGTAGAATAGGGTGCATATCATAGATTCTGGGTGGGTGTGTACGAGATCTTTGCACCGGCTTCGAGTATCTTTATTTTCTTATGTCCATTTAAGTGAAAGGAAAGGTAATATTTGAAGAATTGGTCCATGTGTAAAATACAGGTAAAACTTTTCTCGAGTAATAATTATTTTTAGATTCATAAAACTACGACATTTGTAAGAATCGAAAACTATTGATTGACTTCATTATCGATTTTGAAAACGGGACATGTTCATAATATAAATTAAATACATTCACAAATCGATGTTTTTAATTTACTGATTTTTTAAAAAATTCTGGTGGGTGATAATTATTTAGAATGTAGAATAAACAGATATATATTAATTTAAATAACTTTTTTCTTTTTTAATTGAAATGTAATATAGACGTTTATTCCTCATTTATTGAAATATTTTCTAAACAAGAAATTCTGTTTTCGTGCACACATCTTAGTACACTGAACAAAAATAATGCAAGCAAATCAATATTTTCCTTTTCTGCCAATTGTCGTACCTTGAATCCAATGAATGTTAATTTGCATAAATGATTCCCCCCCAAATATGTTCCCTATTTTTGAAACCAGTCGACCTAAGTAGTGCCTTAGTGAAAAAAAAAAAACAAACAAACAAAAAAACAAAAACAAAAAAAAAAAAAAAAAAAAACAATGCAGTAATTCTGCTTTCTGCTTTACAATACAAACGATACACGATCCATAATGGATCCTGGAACATGTCTATACAAGATAAAATTAAAAAAAAACAAAGACACTTTTTATGCAGGCAGCTTTAAACAATGGCGAAGAAATGAAACTCTTCTCACCAAACAATTTACCCATATTCCATGCTTTGTTCATTTACATTCATTATCAAATTATCGATTTTGAAAACGGAACCTGTTAATAATGTAAATTAAATACATTCACAAATCGATATTTTTAATTTACTGAATTTTTTTGTATAGGATAATAATTAATAAAACTTAATGAAGAATAAACGGATATATATTTGTATTAATTTATCTAATTTTTGCTTTTTTAACTGAAATTTGATATTGACGTTTTTTAATTATTTAAAAGAAATATTTTGTCATCAAGAAACACTGTTTTCGTACGCAGAACTTCTTAGTAAAGATAAATCTGCAAAAATCATGAATCAATTTTATACTGTATCGATATTATGATCAGTTTTACACAGTATCGATATTATGATCAGTTTTACACTGAAAAAGACCCAGTTTCCAAAATAATGCAAGCAAATCAATATTTTTCGTTTCTGCCAATTGTCTTGATTTGATGAAGATCCAATGATTGTTAATTTACAAAAATGATTCACTATTTTCTTAAACCCGTCAACGTAAGTAGTGCCAAAAGGGAAAAAAAAACTAAAACAATACACTAATTCTGCTTCTTTTACATTACAATACAAACGATACACGATCCATAACATGTCAATACAAAATGAAATTAAAAAAAAAAATATTTTTTCTGCAGGCAAAATTTAATCAGTGGCGAAGAATTACAGAAACTTCTATCTCAGCAGAAAGTAAAAATAAATTTCATTTAAAAGAAAAATAAATTTTTATTTAATTTTAAGACGAAAAAAATTAATTTCATTAAGGTTCCGCTGGGGATCGAACCCAGGGCTTCTCGCGTGTGAAGCGAGCGTGATTACCACTACACTACGGAACAAGTTACTGTGTTTACTTGTCTCTTTTTATAATATATCCTTCGATCTGTGGAATGTTATTTCATTTCACCAAACAATTTAGTCGCATTCCACGCTTTGTCCATTTACCTTAATTATCAAAGTTCTTTCCACAATGCCGAGGCTGATTCAATCTACAATCCTTTTCATGTGTCTGATCATTAAGAGAAATTGAAAGTTCAAATATTTCTTTTATCTTCATCATAAATAATTTAACTTAAGGTTATTTTTTAGGCAATGATTATTTCGGTTGTTTAATTTAGTGATTTATCAATACGTGTTGGGTTATTTAATATCAAATATTTGTTTTATCGGACGAAAATCACATTTAATTATGTAGACATAGGTTCAGTTAGCACTTGCTTCAAAAGTTGATATATTTCCAGTTGATACTCGATTAGCGCTCACATCTGGTCGACGTGTGGAGTGAATCAGAAAAAAAGATGTAATTTCTAGTACAGTCTAACACCACTTTATAACGACATTATATCGAGGCTAATCCACTCTAAAAAAAATTTTCCGGTGTCTAATTCTTGAGGGAAATAGAAAATTCAAATATTTTCTGTCTATATCATAAATAATTTAATTTAAGGTTATTTTTTAGAGACGAGCCTATCTCTACCGATATAAGCAGAGGAGAATCGACATTTAAACAGATAGTGGTATAGCAGCAGAGGAGAAGCAACCACATCGACAGATCAAGAACAACACATCGACACAGCTTCGCCGTAAAATATCCACTCACTACTCCCAGTGGAGGAATTTGACAAGAGAACTAACGCTCCACCGATTGATAATTGGATTTATTTGGGAGTACGATCATCGCATACTAAAAGTAAATACGCTCCCGAAAAGCTTACATGTGTGACTTATGACCGGTGCTTACCGTTTCCACAACGACCTAATTGCCCTGATAGAGACTCATCCCTTTTTTTTTCCACAGTGTAAGTGTTCTGCCTAATAAATAGTTGTTATTGCTTGTTCTCTAACTCATTGTTTGTGTCTATTCATGTTTCTGTATTTAGAAGTATTGTTACCTTAGGGGCCAACCAAACAAATCGTAGCTATCAGAAACTCTACATGGCAGGGCCCTTTCATAATGCGCTGCAGACAAGTTTCCTAGGGGGGCTGAGTTTCGTCAGAAGATGAAACTCACCGCTCCTAGGACATGCGTATGGCATAAACAATCACTTCACTCACAGAGAGGATAAATTCAACCACATCTAATCCTTCCATTTTACTGGGATTATCATAAGAACATGTGTTGTTGTTGAAATAGGTACATGTTGAAATCGCTACGGGGTCTCACCAAAAATTGTGGTTTCTACTAGTTGATTGTCAGAGTAACAAAGGAGATAAAATACCACTGGTATGCATGTAAACGAAAGAAGACAGTTAAAGTTAGATATGGTGTGGGTGATACACGCAGACGCGCGTAATCGTTTGTGTGTGTGTCGGGGGGAAGAGTTCAGTCACTAAGGGGAAAGATATCCATTATGCTGGGAAGAAAAGAGGGAGAAGTGAATTATCCTTTTTTTATAGCTGATTCACAGCTCCACCTACCGTCAGTTGCGCTGGAATCAGTATGATTACCGACGCCCCTCTTTAGTGCAATGGAGGTTGCAGCCTTGGGTAGCATTTCCCCGGGACCGGGCACCTCTCTGTATTTGTTTTGGGGTGAGGAGCGGTAGAAAGAATGACTTATAGTTACTTAAGCTGGTCAGGTTAGGGATCAGATCTTAGCAGCAGCAGTTGTACTAAAAGAAAATTAGGCCCTAAATTCAGAATTTAATAGTCACAGAAGAGATTGTAAGCAAGAGAAGCAGGAGGGAATAATAATACTAATAATAATAATAAAAAAAGTTGGTTGTTAAACAACACTGGGAATGAAATTGCATATTTGAATGAGAAGTAAATTGTTTTGATTTTTGAATTAGTTTCCTGATTTTTTCACAAGATTTTGTTTTTACATTTTCCCCTTTTTTTAAAGATAATAATTGTTTTACTGCTTAGTCATAATTTATTTTACTAATTTCATTTGTCCAGTACTATCTTTAATG